AACATTAACAGAAGCATCTTTATTTTGAAAAGCTTATTAGCAGCTTTTGTGCCTGTGCAAGCATGTTGAATTGACTCAAATGCCAGTCAACCACCACTGTACAAAAAATACTACACAGTGAGAAATAGGTAAAAGGAACTGAAGACTCTTTTTTAAAAAATATTCAATTTAACTTTTAAAAATTAATTTTTTTCACCATGAAATTGCAAAGTTATTCATGATTGGGTTTCAAGCATACAATATTGCAATGCTGCCCCCTTCACCTGTGTCTACTTTCCTACAGTGCCTCTCCCAAGTTCATTTCCCTCCCACCTACCAGTCTGCTGCTATAAGAGTCTCATATTTATCTGAGAACCAGATCCTAGCTAACTGCCCCTCTTTTCCCCTCCCACCAACTCATGGAGATGATGCATGTCAAAACAAACTGGTAGCATGCCTTTTAAAACTTCTTTTTTATTTACTTTTTTTTTTTTTTTAGATTTTGAACTGCAGCTAGTGTCTAACTTTTATGTTGCTTCGTTATAAATGTATGCTCAAAATGCACATAGTACTATATTTTTGAACAAACTTAGCAGTATCTACTAAAGTTAACTTTATGGGAAGGGCACGTAGAAGTCTCTTGGTTATATCAACTGTCTAAAATTTAGTTGGATGGCTATAAAACCTTTATATGAAAATATTGATCAAGCTATGTATACACTCTATATGTTATATAACAGGTATTAATGGTGTATCATTCATCCTTAAAGGTAAATATAACAAATGCTTCTTCTTAAAAGATAAATAAATTAGGTCAGAAAAGTTATGCTAATTTGTTTGCTCTTAGCAATATATTTTTTAAATCCATTTTTATTGAGATACCAGAATTTATGATGTTGTTAATCATACTTTTGTTTTGTTTTGTTTTGCTTTTTGGGTCACATCCGGCAATGCACAGGGATTACTCCTGGCTCTGCACTCAGGAATTACCCCTGGAGGTGCTGGGGGACCATATGGGATGCTGGGAATCGAACCTGGGTCGGCTGCATGCAAGGCAAACGCCCTATCCTCTGTGCTATCACTCCAGCCCCTAATCATACTTTTTATGCTTCCATCCTTCCAACACCAGACCCGTTACCAGTCAGCTTCCCTCCACCAGTGTCCAGGGTCCTTTCCCAGCCTTCTTGCCCATGTAATCTGAGTTTTGTAGACAAATTTCTTGTTCCAGTTACTTTGACCGTTTGTTTTTCCCTGGCTATGTTTATTTTTTTTAATCTCACATATTCGAGATATCCTTGACAGTTTTTTTGCATATTTATTGTGGAGGGGGCGACACTTACACATATATAGATGAATTGACCCAAACACCTTTAATTTTTTTTTCCCTTTATTTTATTTTATTTTTTTTAAAGTTGTAGATTTACAATTTTTTGTGCTTTGGTTTCAATTATACAATGATCAGATACCCATCCCTCCACCAGTGCCCATTTTCCACCACCATGGATAATATCCCTCCCACCCCCATCCCCCCATCCCCCCTGTCTCTGAGGCAGGGCAATCCCCTGCAAACACCTTTAATTTTACATAATTATAAATCAATGGTAAGTTGACAAAATAAGCCTTTTAAAAAACTATGTATTTTTCTTAATAGGTATATACATTTAAAAAATTAATATTATTAATAATTATGCAGTAATACATTAAAACTTGCTTGACGTTGATAAATCCTGAACATGTAAAATTTAATAAGAATGAGGATAATTAAGAAAATTAAGAAAATTTTAAGGGAAGAATCTGAAAAGGACTATAAAGTTGTAAAAGTGCTTTTTCCCTTAAGAAAGTGAACTTTATGTTGGAAAATAAAACTTTATGTTGGAAATAAATAAAATAAAATAAAATAACTTTATGTTGGAAAATATTGTTGAGAATGCTTACGTATTTGCATTAGTAAGTAAAAGATTATAATAAAATATTTATGAATGTTATAAACAAAAAATCCTCTGGGTAGACATGGAAATTCAATATAAACGAAATCTTGATTGTTATTGAAAATTGTATAAAATCCCTTAGCAAACTAGGAGTAAACAAACCTTTCATAATCTTGTAGAGGATAGTCATAAGAATCATGAATGAATGGCAAACTCAGTGCTAATTGCTGAGAAGTTTGTCCTGTCTTATAAAGAAACTCCTTTAATGCTTTTTTCAAAAGTGATTTCAAGGCTATGAATTTCCTGAGATTTTTATTGCCTGTCCCTGAAGCTCCATTATCACTCCTTCAAATCTGAATGAGAATCTGAGTATTCTTGGTGATATCTTTATTTTATTAAGTTTTTTTTAACTCTATTCCCTGATAGATTGTAGTCTCATTTTTTTATATCTGCTGTGAATCTCATGGGCTTTCCTTTGTATCTAAGTTCTACTTTTTTTGTTCTTACAGCTTTCACTATTCTGTCTCTGTCTTTGGCTTTTGTAATTCTGAGAAAAGTCTTGAAGTTTTTCTGTTTGAGCCTGTTCTTGATGGGGCCCTTCCAGCTTTATCTATGATTGATCTAGATGTCAACATTCTTTAATGCAGGGAAATTCTTGTCTAGGATTATTAAGATTCCTTTAACTTTTGACTCTGTATTAAATTTGTCTTCCTGTTCTTCATAGATTTTGATGATGATTGTATTGTTCCTTCTTGTACTCAACCCATAGTTCTCTGGTATACTGCTCATTTCTTTTCATACCTTTTTTCCATCTTTTGTTTTTTCCAGACATTTTCTCCATCTCACCCTGGAGTTCCTTAATATTTTCCTTGGCTATTATTCTGCTACCTTTTATTGAGTTTTTTTTAAATGTCCCCTAACATATTCTTCATTTCTGTAATTTCTTTTCATTTTTTTTCCTGTTTGGAGGGGGTGCACACCCAGCAGTACTCAAGGCTTACTTTTGGCTCTGTGTCCTGTGTTCAGCTCCTGGTGGGCTCTGGAGATTATATGGGGTGATGGAGATCAGACACAGGTCAGCCCCATGCAAAGCAAGTGCTCTCCCCTCTGTACTATCTCTCTAGTTCCATCTCAAGAATTTCTGATTGTAGTTTTCTTATCCCAGCTCTCATACATTCTTGTATTTTGCTGACTACTTGTGTCATCGTTTCTTTGAGCTCATTAAACATCCTCATTATTGTATCATCAAAGTCATTCTCAGAATTTTCAGAGTTGGTGGGTGCTGATTAATCCTTCTGTGCTATTATTTTCATTCATTAAACTTGGCCATGGGCTGGAACGATAGCACAGCAGGTAGGGCATTTGCCTTGCATGCAACCAACCCGGGTTTGATTCCTCCGCCCCTCTCAGAGAGCCTAGCAAGCTACTGAGAGTATCCCGCCTGCACAACAGAGCCTGGCAAGCTCCCCGTGATGAATTTGATATGCCAAAAACAGTCTCACAATGGAGACATTACTGTTGCCCATTCGAGCAAATCGACAAACAATGGGAGGACAGTGCCAACAATGTTAAACTTGGGCTTTCGCACAAATTCTGCTGGATTTGCTGTATTGAGGGTAACCTCCTCAGGATTCTCTCTGTGTTTAGGTTAGGAGTTGCTCTTTTCCTTCTCTGCCTGTCTTCACCAAGGACTACAAGTGTAACTGTGAGCAAAGTGAGATTTCATGAGTGGAGCTGAAGGAGGCTGGGCATGTAGGCTGCAGGATCCTGCCAGGAAGGGAGGGAATCTGACCCAGAAGGGCGCTGAACATGCCAGCTGGGAGGTTAAGCTGACCTGGAAGGATGAGGGAGTAAGCAGAGCTTCAGAAGATGTCACGAGAGATTTATAATGTTGAATTGAGTTTCTGCTCTGGAAAATAGAACTTTTGCTATGTTTGGTTTTGAACCTCAAAGCTCCTTTGCCTTTTAGAATGTTTTTAACTGAATGATTATTTTCTACTTCATTGATCTTATGTGAATGAAAAGCTTGAGGATGTCTAAGGTTAAAAATTGAAAAAGATTAATTTACAAAAAATGGGTGGTATATTTAAATATATATTTAGCATTAATATATAGTTATGTATCATAGATTTGGGTATAGAACTAAATACAGGCTATATTTGGTCATATGTATATTTATATTTATAAATAGTTTATATATATGGTTACTATTTTTATTTACTATAGCTATTTATGTGTATAATATACAATAGTCACAACAAATGCAATCATAATATACTATATGTTACATATTAAATGTTTTTTATAATTTTTATAATATAATTATATGTTCTAATGTTTAAGGCATACTTATGTTTAAGTATAAGATAGAAAGTTTTTAAACAATGTGCTTTTTTAAATTTTCTTAATCTGTGGAACCAGAGAGATAATACAGTGGGGAGAATGCTTGACTTAGACGCATCCAACTTGGGTTTGCTTCCCAGCATCCTATATGGGCCCGTAAGACCCACTGGGAGTGGTCCACATACACAGAACTGGGAGTGAGTCCTGAACACCGTTAGTTGTGACCCAATCCCATCCTCCATTTTCAATAATTTTCTTCATCTGCTTACAAATGGTTTTTTTATTTTTTTGCTTTTTGGGTCACACCCGGCAATGCACAGGGGTAACTCCTGGCTCTGCACTCAGGAATTACTCCTGGTGGTTCTCAGGGGCCCATATGGGATGCTGGGAATAGAGCCTGGTTCGGCCGCATGCAAGGCAAATGCCCTACCTGCTGTGTTATCGCTCCAGCCCCATAAATGATTTTTAATGGCATTAGATAATACAAAGCACAACATTTTTCTGTTAAACTGTCATGATTAAATTAAGACAGAAAATCCATCAAGACAAAAGATCCACAAGAATCTGTGGTCAAGCTCAGCCAAAGTTTTGTATTCTTAGTGAAATTGTGTTTAATGGCTTCACCAGGCTTCCTAATACCTAACAGCCATCCACATCCTGGTTAAGTAGCTTGGGGTTGGGGGCTGTAACTCCCCCGTGTAACTCTTAGGAAGTAACTCCTGGCTCCCTTCTGACTCTCCTTTTCCACAGGCCGCCCTGCAAGTTGGGGGCCATGGCGAAAGGCTGCACCAGTGCCGGGAGGTCATGCTGCTAACGTACAAGTCCATCCCCATGCAGGTAGACGGGGAGCCCTGTCGGCTGGCCCCGGCCATGATCCGCATCTCCCTGAGGAACCAGGCCAACATGGTCCAGAAGAGCAAGAGGAGAACATCCATGCCTCTACTCAATGAGTGAGTCTGCCCGTGCCCACCTGGGGGAGCGCCCAGATGGTGGAGAGGAGGACCAGGGCCTGTGCATGGCCAGAGGGGTCTCGGTGTCCCCAGAGAAGCCCAGTGCCGGAGGCTCAGCCTTCCTTGGTCCCCCACATGTCTTTCTCTCTGTGATTACGGCTCAGGGAGCACTGTGTTCTACTGTAATGCATATAAGGACAGTTCTTTCTTGGACTCTTGAGTTTCTATTTCCTGAGACTAGTCAACAAGGGTCTTCACATGTGTTCCTGACAAACCTGTTGTCTTGGGATCTGATGAAGGATACCGCTGGCAGGGCTGGAGTGATAGCACAGTAGGTAGGATGTTTGCCTTGCATGTGGCCGACCTTGGTTCAATTCCCAGCATCCCATATAGTCCCCCAAGCACCACCTGGAGTAATTCCTGAGTTCAGAGCCAGGAGTAACCCCTGTGCATCGCTGGGTGTGACACAAAAAGCCAAAAAAAAAAAAAAAAAGATACCGCTGGTCCCGGGGCCCTGTTGATGTCGCAGAGGCTAGATTTCAGCTCATTTCTCTCTCTGCATTGCATCTCCCTTCTGTGTATCAGTGAACTGTCTCCTTCCTGATGCTCCCCCTTCAGGGTGCTGCATATCCTGGTTGGTACTCAAACTTAAGCCTGCCTGGGTGCTTTGAACCTGACCCACGGCTTCTATGTCACAATAAAATCTATTCTTCTGGAGCCTTTCCTTCTCTCGGTCATTTGTAAACTCACCTGAGGGAAGAGAATGGCTTGCTATTTCCGGTATATATCCGTTTGGGTTGCCTCTTCCTTTCATGGTCAAAATGATTACATGAGGTTAGAGTCCGAATATGGAGATGGGGTTCCTTTTTCTTTGGCTGTCTTGTCTGTATTGTACCCGCATGCCTTCTTTGGCTCGAGGGGAGACTGTGCGGGGATGGGCCTTGGGGTCATTTTTTCTACCCTGCTTGTGGGACAGTTTGAACACCTCCTGCCTGCGTCCTGGGATGAGCAGGTACCCGGGCTGGGCCTGATGTCTGACTGCTCATAGCAACTGGGAGGCCAGAACCTCCTTCACCGCTGCCCGAGTCATTGCTGCAGTGCCCAGAAGAAACCAGGACGCAGGTTATGGCTCTCCCTGCCCACACTCGACTCCACCTCTCTTTACAAGGTGACCTGCAGAGAGGGACAAGAGTTGGACAGTGCTTGTTGGTTTGGCCTTTCTTCTTTCTACTTCGCAGTCTCAAGCAAGCATGAATGACATTTTCCTTTCCGACCCCTTATTTCCCAAGCCAGCTTGGACTTCCTCAGCACTTAAAAAAAAAAAAAAACCCAAAACCCATTTCTTTATCAAGAGGGCGATGTTCTCTTGTTGCATCTGACTTACTTTTTGTTTTAGCAATCATTTTTATTTTGAAAGTTTTCAGAAAAAATGTAGCTCTGACCTCGTTTATGCTACTTCTTTTTTCTGCCTGCCTTAACCTTCAAGTAGACTGACATGCACTTGCTTAGTTTATATGGCAGAACTGTAGGATCCCAGCAAAAGCGCATAGCTGAACCTCTCTGCTCCAGAAACATGAACTCCTGGTGAAGGAGGAGGTTCTGAACATCGAAGTGAAAAGCTCTCTGAGATGGTGCTGTAGCCCAAGGTTGTTGGGGGTCACGAGTAGGGAGTTTATTAAGAAGCTATCTCAGAGCTCCCAAGTTCCTAATAGCTGTGGACTAAGAGCTCACATTCTCTTGTCTGTTGCTTTGATATCAGTAATCTTTTCAGACGTGAAATTGTTTTCAGGGATTGCATTTCAGATGGCTCTTGCCCTGATTTCAGAAAGAAATTTACTGTCGCCAAGAATCCATTTGGACTTTCTCCACATGTAGAAACAAATATCAGTGGTTCTTTTGTACTCACGGCACTAGTGGCAGGTGCTGTGACTCCATGAATTTAGCTCTAAGGGTGTTCCAGGCTCGGCTGCAAACACAATTCCACAAGGGGGCATTGACACAACCCCCCCATCCCCCCGCCCCCCCCCCCCAGCCTCACATCTGAGTGAGAAATGCAGCATTGGTATAATTTTCATTTGTAAAAAGGATGGGTCTAGGACTTAAAATACATGGGGGTGTAGATAATAAAGCAACTCAATTGTTTTTCTTGCATGCCTGTTTCACTAGAGAAATCTTTCTTTGGAAGTCCAGTTGCTTCCTCCTCTCTCCCCCCACTTCTCTCTCCCTTTCTCCCTCCCTCCCCCCCTCTCCCACACACTCTTTTGTCTTTCTCTAGTTTTCATTCACCTGCCTGTTTTTAGAAGAGAGATTGGTTTGATTTTTTTTAAATAGAACTTTCGTTCAACAATGTGTGTGTGTGTGTGTGTGTGTGTGTGTGTGTGTGTGTGATTGCAGGGTTTAGAGAGCTTGTCAGTTGAAGGCAGAAGCTTCTCAGTTCATCTCAAGGACCATGATTCTCTCCTGCAGCATCTCCACAGTGACCATGTACAGGGGCTGTGGGTCCCGAGTAACTCCCTCTCCTGCTGGAATGCGCTGCTTCTCATATACGCTCTTGCTATTCCTCTGGGACCCACAATCCATGCTCCCTCAGCCACCTGCGGGAGGCTGTGTCTTCAGCCAGGCTGCCTTGTGAAAACTCGGGACTCGTGCTGACACCGTATATCATAGCTGACCTCTCTCTCTGGACATGTCAGAGGATCTTCAGCTTTCAAGCTGAAAAGCGGGCTCTCCCAGTATGTCCACTTGGCTTTCTTTTCTCAGTAGCCACGTCATTTCTTTTCTCACCAGTCCCACTTCTTTCCCTCTGTGAGAATGGGACCACCATCCACTCACTCACCAGGTTCTGGCCCCTGCGGTTACCATCTCAGCCATCTCCCCCCACCTTTGTTTTGTTTGTTTTTTGAGTCACACCCAGCGATGCTCAGGGATTACTCCTGTGTCTGCACTCAGGAATTACTCCTGGTGGTGCTTTGGGGACCGTATGGAATGCCAGGGATTAAACCCTGGTCAGCCGTGTGCAAGGCAAAAGCCCTACCTGTTGTACTATTACTACGGCCCACCACCTCCACTTTTATACATTCAGCAGCCCGGCTGTCTGTTCTGAGGAACCTGCCTTTTCCTTTACTCCCCTGATCTCCAACTCTTACCCACTCTCCTCTGCTAGTAATAGGACCTTGATGCAAAGGCTGCCTGAGTTACTCTAAGCAGTATTACTAAACTAATAGCACTGTGGGTAGGGCGTTTGCCTTGCGTGCGGCCCCTCTCGGAGAGCCTGGCAAGCTACTGAGAGTATCCCGCCAGCACTGCAGAGCCTGGCAAGCTCCCCATGGCGTATTCAATATGCCAGAAACATAACAAGTCTCACAATGGAGACGTTACTGGTCAAGCAAATTGATGAACAACGGGAGGACACTGCTACAGTGCTCTTCATTCCTCCCCATTACTCCAGGGGGAATATTAAACTATCTTTCTGCCCTCACACAACATCTTTTACCCTCCATGGATGGAATGGCAAAAATTATTTTTCTAAGAGTGTGGCACCTCTGTTTTGTGACTTGACAGAATTTGTTTGATCATTGCCTTCTTTGCCCACCTTGTCCTGTGCTCCAAAGACCATTGTGATGTCTGTGACTGTGACCTTCATCCATTAAGCAGCAGTGAGCAGCCTCTATTCTTTTTTGCACATTAGTTACTCTTCCTATAGTGCTCTTCTCACCTCCTCTTCATCTGCTACCTTAGGACCCCAATGAAATGCCATTTTCCCCAAGAAGACTTCCTGTCTTCTCAGAGCTCTTGACACACCTCATGGTGGTCTTCCTTAAGTCCTTGATCAAAACTAGTGACATCATTCATTTTTCTGTCGGTCTTTATTCAGAGGCCTGGGAAGGTTTCCTCAGAAGTCCCAGGTCTGGCTGTGTGCCTGAGACTCAGTATGACCTGTGAATAAGAGATTCAAACATATATCAGATCTAATACACTTTTCAGAAGTTGTTTTCAAAATAACCTACTTACATAACCTTAATATAAAAACAATACAGAAAATGTCTTGACTTTATGATAGAAAATAGAAAAGGAATGTTTAAGAATTTCAAGTAAGGCACTTGCCTTGCATATGGCCAACTGAGTTCAATCCCCAGGACCCCAGATACTCCAGGAGTGATCCCTGAGTGCAAAGCTAGGAGTAAGCCCTGAGCACAGCTGATGTGCTCCAAAACAAAGAACAACAACAGCAACAAAATTTGAAGATGTACTTCACATGGAAAGCTTCTGCAATTCCCAAGAGAACCCATTCAACAATAAACCTTCTTGTATGTCACCAGATCTTCCATTTGCACAAAAATATTTGTTTCTAAAAAAAGTATTCATTGAATTATATTCCTATTTGCTTTACACATTTATAAAATATAAACTAGTCTGCCATTTACTTTCTACCTTTCAAGGCCAGGCTACATTGTATCCCGACTGCTCCTTGCATAGATCCAGGACAGAGCTCAGGTTATCAAGGTCCACGAGTCTCCCAAGAATATAAACGCTAGCTCTTCCCAAAGAGCAATAGAGGAGATTTATCTAGGTCCATATTTATATCCTAATAACCTGCTGTCCACATAAATTTGATTATACTCATTATTTGAAAGTCACCTTTGCAAGAGATCAGAAGTTTAAAATTACTGAACTGTTTAAGGAGATCTTCAGCTCCCAGTTATTAGTTCACTATTAATGAAGACTAATAGTTAAAGGTGATTATCCAAGGGCAACGGGTTTATTGGCAGACTTTGAGCTGAGCCACTGGCCTCCATCACCATGGACTACTCAGAAGTGTTATTGGTTGTAATCAATATAGTCCTTTGAGGGTAATAAGATGGAGAAACTTGAGCTGGAATGAACTCATGGGTGAGTTTATAGGGGAATTCACCCCAGGCGGGTGGAGACTGTGTCTCCAACAGGTACGGTGACGCTGTTCAGTCTGCGTGGGGAGAAAAGCCCCTGGGTTTAGTTTCATA